TCCATAGACTCCTTCTCAGGATATTGTTTGTTTGCTTGTTTGTTTGTTTGATGAGGGGAAGGTAATTAGGTATATTTATTTATTTATATTTGGAGGAGGTACTGGGATTGAACCCAGGACCTCGTGCATGCTAAGCATGCACTCTACCGCTTGAGCTATACCCTCCCCCCTTCTGAGGATATTTTTTAAGTGCATAAAATAAAGTGCATAGAATTATAAAGAAAACTATTTATATTAAATGAGAATACTCAATATTTTTAACAATTAGTGATATAATAATATATCCTTTTAATTAACACATTAAATAACAAGACCTAGCAGCAGGTCTAATAATGATCATAATTGTGAAGTAAGTATCAGCAAAAACAATATTTGGAGGTATCCACAGCAACAGTAATGGGATATGAAAGAATTCATGATTTCACTGTTAATGAAGGTTTAGGTGCTGCTTTTATTGTAGTTTTATGTTTTATTTGCAATTGCCTACATTCATAATTGAAGACGATGCTAAATTTAAGTTTAGTGAAAATTAAGATGATAATTATGTTCTTGTTCACTGACTTCCTGAGTTCTATCCATGGATTCTTGTTTAAGAATCTCTAGTTTACAGGCTAACTTAGGTTCAGATTCAATTTAGATTCAATTTTGGGGATAAGAGTTCCTTCATTCAAGCTGCTGTGTCTTTCCTTTTGCATCATGTCAGGAGGCACATTTAGTGATGTTAGGATAGATAAATGGGACAAAAACAAAATAGCCAGATCCATCCTTCCTCCTAGTGGATCACCACTGACCACTGATGATCACATCTATGGTTGGCTCCCACTGTTCACATAGGGGAAAGTAGAACATTACGAAGAAAAGTAATTGTAGTGATTAAAGGACACTGAGTATTAAAAACAATTCATGAGCTCATTTAGACATTTTGTTGGTTGCTAGGGTTCCAACTCATTATTTTGAAAACTGGTAAATAAAAGGGAATGGAAATAAGCATCCTGCTTTTTCTATCTGAACTGTTTTTCAGAGCAACCAAATGACCGTAGATGGAAAGTTCTTTACTGAAGAATTCCAGCAAATAAAAAGAAAGAATGATAGAATTAGAAAAATGATTTTTTTTAATGCTTAAATTTCCCGTGTTTGAACAGTGGAAGTCCCTTTAGGTTGCCTTGACACAACCCCATTACTCTTTGGTAGCTTCTTTGCTTTCTAGAACAACAAGCTATCCCAGGGTCAACTTGCACATTTCTGCCCCCAACATGGAATTAATGATTTCTTTTTAAACTGGGGATTGAAAATTTTCTTAAAGAGTCCTGGTTCCTTATAGAAAGGAGAGGTGTTTAGAGATTACATACTGGGTGCCAGGGATCCATGCTATTATTAAACCCAGCAATACTCCATCACATCAAGAATGAATAGAATGTTCAGAAGTAGACAATAAACTTCAAGTTCATACTGATATTTCTAATTCAGTTTTCGGTGTGGGATGGTTAGCTCAGTGGTAGACTGCATGCTTAGCATACACAAGGTCCTGGTTCAAACCTCAGTACCTCCATTTTAAAAAATTCAGTTTTCAGATTATAGACTTTTCCCTAACTTCTTTGACTTTATATTTGTATTTCTTTTCTCTTACACTGAAAATCTTGATTCTGAATGAATTTATTCTAATTGTTATTTGCTTATTCTAATTTATACACATTACTGAGTAATAAAAATATTGCCAAGTAATATTTCCCAGTAAATGTTCTTAACAAAGTTTGTAAAACATACCAATATTAGTATGTTGTAACTTAGTAACCATAAGACTGTTAAATTCAAGATTTCTCTGTTCCCTTTTCCCTTAGGGCATATCCCTTTAGTAAACAAAACTATGATTTAAAGTCACTTGAAATAATTTTTATTTGGTTACACAATCCGCTTGACATATAGTTAAGTCTATTTCAGCATGGTTACCATTTTAGGAGCTACTCTTCAGAAATTAGACTTAACTTTTCAATTATATTAAAGGTTCTCATAGTTTCAAAGTCAAAACCCTAAAACAAGTTATATTTAAAGAACCCTAGCTTCCCTATCTTTCCCCTTGCCCTTATTCCTTCTTAGAAGTAACCATTTGTCTTAGTTTTTGGGTTTTCTTCCATTGTTCCTGTCCAAAAATATAAAGAAATGCATAAAAATATCCACCTCTCCTTAGTACACTAAAGGTAGCAGGCTATAAACACTGTTCTCCACATAACAGTATTTCCTGCCCTTTAGCCCACAGTTTTACACAGTGATCTGCCTTATGACTCAGTTCTCTGTGGTGTAGGTGACCGTGGTTTAATCAGTCATTCTCTATTAATGCACATCTGGTTCCCTCAGTCTTAATCCTGAGCAGATAACCATCTGAGGAAAATCCGTCACAAGGAGAACAAAACAAAAAATATAAACAGAAAAAGAAACCCAGAGAACAGAGCCAATATATAGAAAACAAAAACTACTATTAATACTTGCAGGGAAATTAGAAAAGGTATGGAACCATGGAAAAGAGAATGGGGTACACCTACAAAGAAGAGCCTACAGAGTAAGAAAGAGCTCTTGTAAATATCAAAGTATGGTATCAGAAATTTAAAAAAAAAACCAAAAACCTCATTAAGAAGGATCAGAAGTTGAAGAACTCTTTCAGAAATTAGAGGAAACACCCAAAAACTAAAACCTCAGAAAGATAGAAAAAAGGAGAGAAGTGACTTGAAATTCAGGGAAAATCAGAGACACCCAACCTGGAAGTCCCATATTTGAATAACAGGATTTCCAAAAAGAGAGAATAGGGAAAATGGAGAAGAACTTAAAAATTTTTTTTAAATAATTTAAATAACCAAAGAGCTTGAGTTTCAGGACTTAAAGAACCCACTCAGTACACACTGGAATGGATGAATGGACCCACATCAAAGAGTATCATTGTGCAATTTCAAAACACTGGGGAGAAAAAGAAGATTTTTCAGGCTTCTTAAAATTAAAAAAAAAAAGAAAGAGGTCACATAAGATGGGTAACTGAATGTTTTCAGAATTCTCAACAGCAGTAGTGGAAGCCATTGGTGATTGGAGTAATAGCTTTAAAATCCTGAAGAAAAATTATTTCCAACCTAGAATTTTATACCCAGCCAAACTATAAGTGAGGGTGAAGGTTTTCAGACAAGCACATCTTAAAAAAAAAACAAAAACCTGATGATGCATAAAACCGGGGGAAAAAAACCCCCAACAAGAGTAGAGTGTCATTTAGAGACACAAACATAGCCATCGAAATGATCAGCTAACAGAGGAAAAAGTGGCTGCCTGTGGGGACAGATCGGGTGGGAGGGGGGACTGCTCTTTTAACAGTGAGAGGGAATAATTTTGATAAAAATATAAAAATAGAAAGAGAAGAAACAATCTTTAAAAAGAACGACTTGACTGTTTTAAGGACTGTAAGGACTGTTTCAAGTTGATCTGACTGTTTTGAAGACTATGATGAAAGACACAGAGGAGGAAACATGACAAAAAGATTCTGAAGTTCTTATGAAAACTGGTCAGTGTATCAAAGTTTAGAGATACCTTTTGAACCATCTGCACTTGGCTTGTCCTCCTTGATGTAAAAATGTGTCTAGGTCGTCTGGAAAGAGATTCCTTGCAGTTGGCCAAAATCAAGAGCATGCTGGAACACAGGGTGTGGGTCTTTCCTAAGTATAGGTGGGAAATGTTGCTAAAAGCATTGGAGAAAAGATATGTCAAGTTTTGGTTTTTTTTTTTTTAAGGGAAAGGACCAATGATGTCTAGGAAATGGCAAGCAGCTCTAAGGATTTGGAGAATAAGGGTGTTTCCCAAACTTTGCTTCATGTTATCATCACTTGGAGGATCTGTAAAAATCCTAACAGCCATGTCATACCCCAGACCAATTAAATCAGGCTAAGTAGGAGTAGGAACCAAATATCAGTATTTTTGAAAGGCCCTGCATTCCAGTTTGGGAACCACTGTGGAGAATGTTTGCATGAGGAAGCTGAAACAGGAAGGGGAAAACTGAAAAGTTTCAAATGCCCAGTTATTAAAGGACAACAGAGGTGCCACTGAAGGCTTTTGAACTGGAGGTGACGCAATGTGGTATTTGGGTAGGATTAATGCACAGAAGAAATGGGAAGAGGTGAGATTCCAGAAGCATGGAGAACACTGACTGGACTGATAGTCTAGTTCTCGGCTCGGAATCAGCAGCAGAAAATACGCGGCTGTGTGCATTAGGTGTGTCAATGTGTCGTCACCTTATCCTCCCTGCCTCCTCGGAAACTCGACTGTTTCTCTTGCCCAGGCTCTGTGGCGTCCTCTCCACCCAGGGATCTGGTGTGGTGGTGCCCCAGATGGATGCGAGAACCACCAGGAGGCAGTGTAGGCCAAAGCCGGGCCCCAAGAGAGGGCTGCGGGCTCCGCTGTCTGGTTGGACCGAATCCCTGACGTGAAGGAAAGTCACCCCTGTCCCAGAGAAGTTGAGGACCAAGGCCGAACGGTGGGTGAAGGTCTTCCTGACCGGAACCACTCACCACCGTCTTTCAGGAGGTCCTTTGCTTTTCCCGCTGTGGTGAGAGGCTCACGCCTCCGTCCGCGCCATGAACAAGCCTGTGAAGGTCAAGAAGTCGGGGGCCTCACCGGCCTTTCCCGACCCGAATCTCCAGCACCCCAAGAATGGAGGGCCGAGCCCACAGTAAGTACTCGAGAGCCAAGGGAAGACTAGACGAAGGCGAAAAGGATGTGGGGGCTGAGAGGCACGGTGTGCGCTGACCCCTAGTTTCTTTGTTGGCGGGAACCGGAGGCCAGGAGCAGAGGCGGACCAAGGCTGTCTGCTATTTCCTCAGCTTCCCCAACAATCGATCGCGGCGACCAGCCAGCGAAAGAAGTCACCGTGACCGAAACGTGGCGGAGGTGTGTGTGTGTGTAAGAAGTCACTCTGTGTGTGTGTGTGTGTGTGTGTGTGTAGGAAGTCATCGTGACCCGTGGCGGAGGGGGGTTGTGTGCGCGCGCGGGCTCGCGCGCGCCTGGTCCCTCATGGTGACCCGCTCGAAGCACTCGGCTTCCAAAGGCGGCCGAGAGCCATCCCATTAGAGAGCTAGCCTGCAAGATGGGAGACATCGAAACGCCTCTTTTGAACACACGGTGACAAACACCCCCTCCCACTCAGCGGCGACGTGCACGTGACAGTTTTCGGGCCCTCGCAACTACGTGGAAACTAGGAGTAGGTCCGCGGCTGCACACAGCCGGGCGCCGGGGTCCCCGCGCCCTCGCCCCGCTCGTCGCGGCCCGGGGGCCGAGCCACCGAGAGCAGAGGACCCCGCCCGCCGCGCCCGGCCCCCGGGAAGCGGCTCCTGAGGCGGCGGCGGCGGCCCCGGCCATGTGGGACGCGCGGGTAACTAGGTGCGTAGCGACGAGGAAAGCCCGAGGGGCGCCTTTGGCCTTCCGGGCCCCCGCGCCTCTTCTCGGCGGGAGGCGCCGCGCGCCGCGGCTGGCGACCCCTGAGGCGGCGGCCGGGCGGGAGCTGCCGCTCTCATTCAGGTGCAGACCCGGGCCTGTCGCGCAGGGTCGGACGCAGGGGGCAGCTCCGGCCTTTCCAGCGCCGGGGGACGGGGCAAGCGCTGCGACAGTACTGCGGCGGCGCTCGGCCTGCCTCATCCCCACCCCGGGCCGAACCCGCGGCTCCCGAGCCTGCCTCCCACCTCCTCCGGGGGACCCCGGGGCCGCTAGCATGTTGCGATGAAAAGACCAGCGGAGGCGACCCCGGGGTGTGCACCGGGCCAGCAGGCACCCGGGCGCCGGACGCGATTTGCGGGGAACTTGGAGAGTGCCGGCCGCTTCCCGGGGAGGAGGTTGGCGAGTCCAGCCCCCGGCAGGCCTCTGCCCCAGCCCGCCCAATCGCGAGCTGGGCTTGCCCGAAAGAGGCTGTATGGCCCGCTGTCCTCGGCTAAACGAGCCTCGGGCGGGGCAGCAGCAGGGCCCCGAGGCTCGTAAGAGGAGTTCCCAGAAACCCAGGCTTCTGCTTCCGAGCATTTGCAAACGCGGGCTCGGAGCCCGGAGCCCGGAGCCTGGGAGGCGCACTCCGCCCCCTCGCCGTGCGCCCACTGGAAGCCCGGCGCATTTGCAACCCGGCTGAAACAGTACCTATCAGCAGCGCTGGCAAGCTCAGCTCCCAGCTAGGGGCATTTCTGGAAGGCTGCAACCTTTGGTGCTTGCTAGAGAAAGATTTCGGGAGATGCGCAATTTGAAAAAAAAAAATTATAAGAAAGGGGGCTCCGAGGTCTGTAGTCCCTAGCCCGTTGCTGTTGGCCCAATCAGTCCTTCCACAGGAAGAAAACGGGAAGCCGAGGGCTTGCGTTCCCAGCACCCAGGTTCTTCCCCACCGCCTGGTGCTGAGTCTCCCGGGTGCCAGGCACCTTTCAGAGGCAAGGCTGTTACCCGGATGTCTTGGTCTTTTGTTGAGCATCCTGTTTTGTGCTTTATAGGAAGTGCTACCTTGTAGGAGAGTCAGAAGTTCGCTTCAACTGTTGTGCAGTCGTCTCTGTTTTGTAGAATTGCAGGATGGATGCTTGAGCTCTAAGTACCCTGTGCTGGCCCTTGCGTCCCTGTAGGGAATGAAGGTGGGATGGGTGTGTGTGGCATTCGTCCCAGGAGTCAGATCCCACTGCTTCAGGCCTGTGAGTTTCTCAGTCTTTTCTTGACCAAGACCCACCATAGAGACATATATATATACCCAGCCACATAAATATATAAGGACAAAACTGCAAGAAGAGAGAGGTCACAGGATATTTATTCCCTCTACAGAGTGAGGCACAATGCCATTGTCTACTCTGCTCTATTTTCTGCTTTTTAAAAAAGCTAGTCATAATCCGTAAATGTGATTTAATGATTGACTATCCAGTTTTAGGTGGCAGCTGGCAAGCTCTCTTTGGGGACACCCCAAGAGAGGCTGGGGAGAGCATCAGCATTTCCCTGAGGAACTAACTTTGGAAGGGTGGAGCTTGTGTAGGAGACCTAAGGGAAGCTGAGATTCAAACTTGAGTAAGGAAATGCTTCCTTGAGTAACGGGAGTACTCTAGGTTGTGGCTGCAGAGACAGGCTGAGGGATACTTCTGGTTACTCCGGTTCCATCTGTCTGGCCGCACCAAGTTGGCTGTCTGCCCTGCTGTGAGCAGGGTGGGGCCTCTGTGAGTGCTAAGGAATAATGGCTTCTTGCCATTACGCTTTTTTTTTTTTGTTTTCGAGGAAGAAGGAAGGAGAGTGCTGAGAGGCGGCCACAAACTCTGGATTCATAAATTCAAAAGGGGATTTTTGAAGTCTGCACAGAATTTCAAAGCTGCAGGGTCAGGAACAGGGCTGTGAACATTCTATAGATGGGCTTGAAGCCCATCACTTGTCAGTCGTCACAGCTAATTAGTGATGGATCTGGGGTTAGACACCACTCTCCCAGGCTCTCAAAAGAGACTGCGCCTTTGTGGAATTCTTTAACTTCTTTTTGCTGATTAGTTTTGTTTTCCTGTGCTTGCTACCAAGGGCCCACTGCTATGCTGTGTACGCTCTTGTTATTTTGGTTTTTTTTTTTAAATTAATCAGGTTATATGCCAATAACCTTTATTTATCTTTTATTTATGCACTTTTTTTTTAGTGGAGATACTGGGAATTGAACCCAGGACCTCACGCATGCTAAGCAGGCACTCTACCACTGAGCTATACCCTCCCCCTCATTTTTGCTTCTTGGTATGAAGATGTTTGGCCACCAAAGTGGAGCCTGCAGGCTCCATATTTGGGTGGGGGTGAGTGACCCTGAGGCTGTTTTAAAGAACTGAAGTGGGGCTGGGGTGTGGGCCTCTGGTCATCATCACGAAAGTGGCATTGCTTTTATTGACCTCGAGGAGCAAGCTCTCCTCTGCCTTTCCAGATAGGGAAGTAGAGCCCATAGGTCGCTGCCCTGCCTGCGGGTTTCCAGTCAGTGACACAGCTGACCGTGGCTCATGCCTTTTCTAACAAGTTTCCTTGGGGTACAGCCTGAGGTTCTTAAGGCCGAGAAATCTTTATGAGAAACCTTTGCAAGAAAGAAGAATTTGGGGGAAATGGACAGTCTCTTTCACAAAGAAGACAAGACATTACAGCTGAGATCGGTGATGGGGGCAGAGGTGGGGTGGCTAGAACGTTCGGGTTTAAACTTAGAGAAACTGTTACTGAACCTAGTAAACACACATCTCTTGACAGCCAAAATGTCACAGTGCCCAAACCAAGAGCAGTGTTTGTCCTTTGATTAGTGAGGTTGTCCATTCTACCTGACCAGACATTTTTCTTTGTCTCAAATTTCCTGAGTCAGTGTTGCCTTGTTTCCTTGATTTTGTAGAGAATCTGGAAGGGTGAACAAGCTTTACCTGTGACACCCTGACCTAGCTTACCTGAATCGACCCCATCTTTCGCTTGGGTGGTGAATATCAGTGTGCACCTGCAGCCCCCACGGCATGTTTGTCTGAGCTCCTGTGAGCCTGGTGGGCGGGTGGGCCTTCTGTGTGTCTGTTGGAGCCAAGACAAGTCTGGGTTTAGCTCTGTCTGTATTTGATGATGATGTCTAGATTGAGATGTTTTTGTTTTTTGTGCACTGAGTCCTCCCAGCAATGGAGGAAGCATTTGGAAAGAACCCTAGAAAACGGTGATGACCTTTTGGCCGTATAGGGGCAGAAAAAATTTCCCTTCTTCCCTTTTAGGTTCTTTGGCTGGTTCTGATAATTAAATTGACATAAGACGGATTAACAGGAGAAAAAGAAATGTAATTTCAAGCCTATGGGAGCCCTGTAAAAATATGAGACTCAAAGAAGTGACCAGAACAGGAAGAAGCTTTTATACCTTTTAGGCAAAGGAACAATAAATTTGTGAAGACTTGACAAGACAAAGGGTTTGGGCTTGGGGTAATAAATTGGTGAAAAAGTAACAAGGGTTGTTTATATAGCCCTCTCGGCCCTGAATACCCTGCGACGAGTGATAAGGATGTCTTCTACCCTCCTGGTACTGGGAGGGTGACTTCACATGGGAGATTTATCTCCTACTTTCAAAGGGAGGGGGGAGGGTCAGAGTGTCCTTCTTGCACTGGCTGTTTCTCAAGTACTTTCAATTCAAAATAATCAATATGCTAAGGTGGTATATTATGGGGTGGCATATTCAGAGGAAACCAGGCCATTTGGGGGAAAACTGCACAACACAGAAAATACAGAGAATTGCAGGGATATACTGAGCAGTCTGTTTCACTGTGAAGAATACTCAGATCATAGCCTTGAACTAGGATGAGTTTCGTGTCCAGCTGTGGCCTCCGGGGCTCTCTCCTTTGGTCACCCTGGGGCCAGCTCATCCTCCACCCTTCAGGGTCCACCCTACCTGGAGGCTCAAAAATGGGTGATTTCCAGGGCTCACTCAAGTCTGGAGTCTGAATTTATCGGCCAGGAACTAAGTGTCCCCATAATCTGGCCTCAGACTTTCTCTCCAATATGCCCTTTCTTCTCCCCTCAGTGTCTTGCCTGATCTTACCTCTTCTGCGTCTTCGTTTTTCAGTGCAGTTCCGCTCCTTGTATGTCTGAGGGCCCTGTACTGGCTGGCGGAGAATGTACACACGTGAGATGTACGCGCTGCTGACAGTGGTAGAACATAGTGCCAGGCAGCCCTGTGAGAAAGGTAGATTGCAGTTGTAGACGGACACTCCGGGAGGCTTCCAGCTCCTGAATCCTCCCTCGGAGGAAGTCTGGGAGGTCTGTCTTGAGCGGTGCCTACACAGACGGCAGGACTTTCCAGCAGGCGGACTGAGGGGTGCCAGGAGGGAGAGGGGGGCATTCCAGGTAAAAGGGGTAGCTTCGTATTAAGAATAATGGCGAGCACCATTTCCTCATTTACAAACTAGAAGTAATAAGACCTTGAGAACGTGTTTGGAGGTTCTGACGGGGGGAGCCCAGCTGCTTGCACACCCTTGACTGAAGAGTAGTCCTCTATGGGAGAAGGGCGTCCTCTCCCACTGGGCATGCGCGAGGCTCCTGTCTGGTCCTCTGAATCAGGTGAACCAACCCTGACGATCAGTGAGGTGACTGATATCATTTAAGGGTATAGTCTCTCAGAGGGAGAGGGTATAGCTCAGTGGTAGAATGCGTGCTTAGCATCCACGAGGTCCTGGATTCAATCCCCAGTACCGTTATTAAAAATAAATAAATAAGTAAACCTAATCATCTCCCCCAAACATAAAATTTTTTTTAAAAAGGTAGAAACTTACAACTATTAGATAAATAAGTACTGGAGATCTAACTTCTGGAGATCTAATACACAGCATAGCGATCCTAGTCAACAATACTGTATTATTAATCTCAGAGATGCCAATAGACTAGATCTTAATTGTTCTCACCACAAAA